TCGGGACAGCCCCGGCCGGCCTCCTGCCGCCCTTTCTGGGCAGCTGCCATCGGAGTGGGTAATTTTAGCCAAAAAAATTTAAAAAGCCATCTTAATTATTTATGAAAGAAGATCCCCCCCATATAAATCATGCTTCCTCTGGGGGGGGTGCTGTCCCCTCCTCTCTGATTCCTCTCTGAGCCATCCCCCTTGCCTGGTCAGGCTGGGGGGCCCTGGAGACGCGGGGCTGGGGGCAGCGGAGGAATTCCAGCATGAAATGTTTTGTTCATTAACAGAGAACATAGGAGGAAATTCCCTTTCTGCCTGGGTCTGGGCAGCCCAGGCGGATACTGAAAAGCTATTGTGAAAAATCAAGTCTGGACTGTGAAGTGGGGGCTACGTTGAGGGGGGGGCGGTGTGGTGGTGGGGGACACACAGCTCCCTCCCAGCTTCCTCTTCTCTTCTTAGAAGACTCCTGACTTGGTTTCCTGAGCCTGGGCTCTTCCTCCTTTGGGGGGTGGGGGCAGAGAGGTTCCTTCCAATGTGTTCAGTTGCCCTCAAACTTCCTTCTTGGTAAAACAGAAAGAATTGGGGTTAGACAGGAGTTAGAATTTCTGACCGCAGAAGTGGAGATGATGAGCTGAGGGGCATCACCAAACTGGACCTTTTGAAGATTTTTTGTTTGTTTTTGGGCTATACCCAGCTTGCTCAGGACTAAGTCCTGAGGCTCCACATTCAAGGATCACACCTAGCGGGGCTTAGGGGACCATATGAGGTATAGGGATGGAGGAACCTGGGTCCACCACGTGTGCAAGGCAAACCACATACTTGCTATACCATCCCTCCAGCCCCAGAGACAGAACATCGGAGTGCCCCCAGCACCTCCTTCACTTCTCAGCGACTCTCCAAAGAATTGGGGGGCAATTTCAGGCAGAATTCCCCGGGCATCCTCATTGCAACTTTAGCCTTCTTCCTCCCCCCCCTTTTTATTTTTACCTTTAGGGGATGGTTACCCGCTTTCTGGCGCTAGAAGGGAACAGGGTCAGGGCTGAGGAAGGGCTCCAGCGAATGGGATTCCCGACCCGATGGGGGCGCGCAGGACGGGGGCGTGGGTGGGCGTGTGAACGGTCCCTGAACGCTGTCCCCGCGGGTGCTGGGAGCCGAGTGCGGACGGTGGGGGGAGCCGTCCCGGGGGGCCGGGCCTGAGGGGGGGTGTGTGCGCGCACGCTCTGAGCCCTCCCCTCCCCGACTCGGCCTGGGGCTGTGTCGGGATCGGGTTTCTCGGCGCCTGGAGCCTCCGAGGCCGAGCTGTTCCCGGGCCCCGGCCAAGCCGCCCCGGGCGCTGGCACTGCGCAAGGAAGCAGGGGGGGTGGAGAGGGGGAGCGAGAGGGGGCGGTGAGGACTTTTACGTAACTGCCTCCCGGAGCCCGCCGCGACCCGCCAAACCCCAGCGTGGGACTCGGTGTGATTGCGAGCACGTGCGACCCTGCGTGTGTGCCGGGGTGACACAGTGCGGCCGGGACTCTGTGTGTGGTGTGTGTGTGTGTGTGTGTGTGTGTGCGCGCGCGCGTGTGTGGACATGAGGGCTTGGGGGAGGGGAGTGTCCTTCTGGGTCGTGTGGCACCCCAAGCCCCCAGAGTTGTGGGGGGGACCTTGGCCTCCCTTAGGCTGCTCAGGGGAACCTGGATGCTCGTTGGGCGCTGAGACTGGGTGAGTCTGTGTGTGTGTGTGTGTGTGTGTGTGTGTGCGCACGCACGTGCCTGTGATGACACGCGGAGAGTCGGGGTGTGTGTGTGTGTGTGTGTGTGTGTGTGTGTGTGTGTGTGTGTTGAGCTTCATTCAGCTAGGCAGGTGTTGCCAGGTGGAACTTTCAGATGTAGCAGCTTAGAAATAAGTGCCCTGCCTGAAGGACCCTGGCAAAGGGACCTCAGGAAGCCAGGCGGGGGCGCCCCTTCGTGGAAGACACACCAGCCGCCAGGGGGAAAGGGTCTTTGGTCAACTCCCACTCCTGATGGAGTGGGAGGTGGGTCACGTTGTCACCTGACAAGTGCGCGTGGAGCTAAAAGTTTAGCCACAGAGACAGAGTAGTTTTTTTCTTTTCTTTTCTTTTTTTTTTTTTACCTTTTTGGGTGTAAAGCTACAGGAACAGGAGCTAGCGCGAGACAGTTCAGGGGTTAAGGCATCTCCGTTCAATTCCTGGCACTGAATATGGTGCCCTGAGTGCAGAACCAGGAGTAAGCCTTAAGCACCACTGGGTGTGGCCCCAAACGAACAACAAGAACACCCCCCCAACCCTACTACAGGGACAAACTTGAAATCGAGATGTACATGGTCTCCAGTTCCAGAGTACTCAAACCCAGGATCCCCATCACTTGAGGACTGAACTGGGGGCATGATATCCCAACGGAGAAGATGGGGTGGGTTGGGAGGAGGTTGGGAAACAGGGTTTGGCTAAAGGGTCAGTCTGGTTCAATGTTGGGGAAACTCAGCCATGGGGACACCTAGTACAGCTGCAGGAGCTCATTCTTGGGGGCTTTGAAGCCGCGCTGGAGAAGTCTTGCTTAGACCCCACTCTAGAGTTAAGACACCCCCATCCCCTGCAAGGATTCACACCCTGCCCTCCTCCCCTCACTCAAGCTCAAAAGTTCTATAGCAGATAGAAGGCCCTATCTGGAAGTGGCAAGAGCTGAAGCCGGATTGGTTCTGTTACCCCGGGTCATATGGGGCGAGTATCCGTTCAGGGCAGGGCAGTGGTGGCCTGGGAGAGAAGGGGCTTCACTCGGATTGCTGGGTCGGTGGGTGGGAGCGGCCGCCAGAGGGGATGGGCGTGTCCCATAGTGCCCGCCAGGTGTCGCTGCGGCCCCGGGGAAGCGGGCGCGGCGTGCAGCGACTGCAGAAGCCGCGGACCGACCGACGCCCAGAAGGGGTCCGACGTGCGTTCCTCCTCATTCATCGCTCCATACACCTCCATATCCGGCTTCCTGACCTCGGTCATCCCGTGCCGACTCTGTGCCAACACCCCCCCCCCCCGACTGCGGCTCTGAGTTCGACAGCACTCTACCCCACCCGCCGCCGCCCCGCGTGTCTGCAGATGGAGAGGGGCGCTCGTTAGTCTGGGGCCCACCCGCCTTCATCCCCGTCTCAACAAAGAGGCTAGGGTCCAGGCACCGAAGGACCCGGAGGTCAAGTCGGCCTGCGAAGCAGCCCCCGACCTCGATTCCGGTTCTCCCCTAGAGGGGAGGGGCGCTTCTGGACCGGGGAACCTGGCGCAGGCCTCAACTCGGCGCCAGGGACAGGGCAATTCCTACCGCCACCGCCACCCCCACTGCCCTCCCTTCAGATGCAGCCTCCCCGCCCCAGTCCTTTCCTGGCATCCACACCTGGGATTGGTCCATGGCCCAGGCCTGAGGATGCCGGCGTGGGGGGCGCGGGCGGGGGCAACTACTGTGTCTGGGCGGCAGCGGGTTGGAGTCCAGGCGCGCGCGCGCGCACGCGCGCCGGGCTTTCGCTGTGCGTCTTGAAGCCCCTACCAAGCCCTGGCGGAGCCTCAGCCCAGCGGACTCCCCACCTCTGCTGCCAGGGAAGTGAAAGTGAAAACCCGGGTATGCTGGAAGGTTTTGCCTGCAAGGGGAGTCCCTCAGGCATTTGTTGGGAAAGGGCCCGGGTGCCCTGGGCAGCTAACTGGGGAAGGGTGTGGGGAAAGAGTAAGAAATCTCCTTCCTGCCTTTCTCCTCGCTCGCCCGGGCTCCTCGCACTCCCAGCCCTTCCCTTGAGGGGCAATGGGCAGGCACTCGAGTCAAAGGTCAGACGAAGCAGCCCAGGGGTGGTGTTAGGGGTGGCCCACGATCCCCGCCTTTCTGATTCACCCCTCCCGTGGCGCTCTGGGTGGGCACCACTGAAGTTGGTGGGATGATGTAAACTTAACTCCGCATGTGGTCGTGAGTCCCGAGACCCAGGGGTGAGGAAGGGAGCGCTCTCCCTTCCCCAGAGGTCCAGGCTGCCCAAGAAAGGCAGCGGGGGTGAACCTCCAGCGCCCTGCTCCCGGTCTGCGGTCTGCGCTCTGGAGGCGCAGCCCACCTCCGGGTTTCATCAGTGGAGCTTCTCTCCAGACCACGTGCCGAGGGCAGGCGAGGGTGGGAGTCCAAGGTTTGGGGCTACTGGACCTGTCCGCCCCCGGTCACGGGAGCGTGAAATTCTGAAATCCCCTTTCTGCCCAGCGACCGGAGTCTGTCTGTCTGTCTGCCTGTGTGATCGGAGCGAGGGTATTGGTGGGAGCTGTAGGAAGAGGGGCGGGCTGGGGGCAGCTGGCCACCTCTGCCGTAAGTGAGGCCTGGGGGGCTCGAGCTCACCCCGCGGAGATGTGGGGAGGAAGGACCCCAGAGTGGACCGGCGGTGTGCCAGGATGCCGGTGCTGGGCAGTCAGGGCCTGAACGCGCCGGGAGCGTGTGCAGCGGAGATCTGACAGAGGAATAGGAATAAGCGACCGACCCCCGGATGAGTGCGCGCCCAGCGGCCCGCGGGGATCGGCGGGGTGGGTGTGGGTGCGCGTGTGCGCGCGCGGCTGAGCCCCGCGGTGGCTGGGCTGCGCGTGAGGCTCGGGGGGCCACAGCCGTCTGGAGGGCGTTCCCGAGAAAGGGCGAAGGCGAGGGGGCCACGCGTGCCAGTGCGGCGAGTGTGCCAGCGGGGCTTGGGGGGTGGGGAGGGCGCGTGGCAGCGCCGGGCTGGTGGGAGTCGGGGGGGGGGGACCCTCCCGGCCTGCGCCGGGGAAGTGTGCCCGCGCGTGCCAGGCGCGGGAGCCGGCTCGGGCGGGGACGCGCCGGGGCCGTGGCCGGGAGGGGGTCGTGGCGCGCGGCCGCGGAGGCGCGGGGAGACAAGGCGGGAGGGGGAGGGGAGCGAGGGCGCGCGCGGCCGAGCGGGCGCCCGCGGTCACATGGGCGAGGGAAGGAGGGAGGGAGCGCGCGAGGGAGGGAGGAGGATGGGGGGGTTAAAGCCGCCGAGCGCCGAAGAGCCGGTGCAGAGCGGGCGGCGGCGGCGGCGGCGGCGGCGGCGGCGGCGGCGGCGGCTCCAGCCTGCGCGGCGCGGGGCTCGGCGGCGGGGAGATCCGGCAGCGGTGGGAGCTCCGCGCTCCGGGGCTCGCTCCCCGCCGCGGACAGCCGAAGGGCGCAGCGCGGAGCCCCGGCGGCCCGAGGGCGCGGTGAGTTCCCCCGCGGCAGAGCGCGCGCGGCCGGACCCTCGAGCCCTCCGCGGCCCGACAGCCCCGCGGCGCCCCGTGCGCGCGGGAAGCGGGAAGGGGACACGCGTGGGCCCGGGGCTGAGGGTGGGGAAGGAAAGTTCACCGGAAACTTTGCCCGCACACTCGGGGGCGAGAGCGCTGGAGAAGCGGCCCCCCACGTCCGGGCGCGCCCGGGGTTGGGCGTGGTGGTGGTGGTGGTTGGTGGTGGGGGCGGACAATTGGCTTGGCGCGGAGGTGTCCAGCGCGGATCGTCCAGCCCGCCCGGGGCTCCCCCAGATCTCCGCAAAGCGCTCGGGGTCTGGGAAAATTCCGGAGCTGGGGGGTCGTGGTGACTGACCCCCGCACCCTTGGAGGCGGCTCCCTCCTTGGTACAAATCTGGACTTCAAAGCGCCCAGGGGTGTGAACGGACGGCCTCGCGTCAGCCGGTGTATGCGTGTCCGTGTGAATCCGGTGTGTGTGTGTGTGTGTGTGTGTGTGTGTGTGTGTGTGTGTGTGTGTGTGTGAAGGGCGCGCGCGTTGTAGCTCTTTGGAGTGGCTTTTTCCAGCGCCTCTTTGTAAGTCCTGCCTTCTGTGTCCGGTGAGTCCGCTCGTGCCTTGTCCCCAAGTGGCTCTTTGTGAGTCCGCCCGTGTGCGCCCAGCGCGCGTGGCTGTGAGCGGGCCCTCGGGGCGGCGGCGGTGTGGCTCCGAGTCGTGGCTCTCCGGGTGCGTGGGGGCTGGGCCGCGGGGAGGTCAGCAGACGGACAGCTCTGGGACTCGGCTCCTCGCCTCGCTCTCCTCCCCAGCCTCTCCTCCTCCTCCAGCCGCTCGCCCTCGCGCCCGCCCCCTCCCCCTCCGGTAGCTTCAGGCGGGCAGGACTATTTCACGCCTTGTTGAAAATTCAGGATTTTCTTTCTCTTTCCAGTCTCGTCTCTCCCTCTTGAGAAGCGTGTGTGTGTGTGTGTGTGTGTGTGTGTGTGTCTGGCAGCTTATCTGCAGTTCTGGGTGTGGGTCGGCCTGCCACTCTGCAAGTGTATGTCTGTAACACTGATGGTTTCCCCGGTTAGTACTTGGGATCGCTAGGGATGTTCTGCCTAGCTGTGATGGGGGGCAGTGAGGGGGTATCTGAAGTGCTGGGGGTGTTTGTGCATCTGTGGGATGTGTCTAGGGGTGCGTTTTTGTGCCTTGCTCTGGGGGGTGATGCTAGACCCGTTGTGTGGGTGGAGATGGGGCTGGCAGAGTCAGACAGTCTTAGGACTGAGGGACTCAGGAGGCCAGGGTGGGCCGGAAGGGCCTTATGTGTCCCCACTGTCATAACCCACACAAAGTTCTGGGCTCGTGCCTGGGGCTCCTGGGAAAGGCTGGTGACCCAGCCAGTTCCCTTTCCAGCCCGGCTGACACTCAGGGACTCTGCACCTCCTCCAAAGACTCGGAGTTTCCGGTTCACAGGGACGCAAGGGGCTGAGTGCCTGTTTTGCACAAGGGAGGCCCAGATTTGAGCCCTGGCACCACCTGGTCCCCTAAGCACGGCTGGGAGCGACAGTCAGGTGTGGCCCCAAGAACAGAACTGAGATTTTCACACTCAAGCAAGAAGACTCCTTGCTTGGGACCTGGAATTTGTACCCAGATTTCACACTGAGGCATTTGACTTCTTTGTGGGGCCTTGGAAGTTACACACGTGACAGGGACGCACACAGATGAGGAGATGCAAATGCACCCTCACTCGTTTTCTGGGGTGCCTGTGGCTGCGGGGGGCCGGGTTTCAAGGCTCACCCTTACCCCGAGGCTCCCAGGTTGATGCTGAGACCTTGCGGCCCCTCTCGAGACTCACTGGGTGAACTCACGTGGGACCCCAGAGTTTCCTCACCTGCGCAGGAATGTTCTGGGGCTCCAACCCTCAGACTCATGTCAGAAGCCTGAGGCTGCTGTGGATCCTGGAGTCCGTGACCTTGTTTGTCTTCACGTTCCCCCTCAGACTCACGGGGGCCCTGCTGGGGGTCACCGAGGGTCTGGGGGTCTGAGATACGCAGGTTGGCAGACAGCTCCCTGCCAGCGTCCCTCCATCCCGCGATCACTCTGGAATCTGTTTCCACTCAGACTACCAGAGGCACCTGGTCCGAGACAGGCCCATGCGGAGAGCGGGCACACCTCAGCCTCACGCGGGTTCTGCTGCTTGTGCTGACCGGGATGGGTCGGCTCCTGCCTAGGCTTACACGGAAGATGGGGGTGTTTTGCCAGGGGCACCCTGGCTCCCCAACTCCCCTTCAGACTAAGTAGGACTGTGGTGCTCAGAGCTCATGGCGGGCAGCTCTGACGGCACTTTGTGAGGACACGTGGGCCAAGGAAGAGGTGCCCGTCCTGGAGTATGTGGGGATGGGGACAGGGAGGATACAAGCTGGGTCGCCCCTGAAGCCTACTGGGCCCCGTCAGACCTCGGCCTTTCTCATGAGAGCGGCCTCTTACCTGAGCTTTTGGGAGTTTGGGCGGCTTTGATGGATGGGCGTGGGGTGGGGGTCTAGTCTAGAGTCCATGTGTGCCCCCCCACCCCCGCTCCTGGCTAAATCCTCTAGGCTGTGGTCTAGAGGGTGAGGTGTGAGGTGAGAAGATGTCTGTCCTCCATTCCGCCCCCACCCCCACCCCCAGCCCGCCTTAGGCCTGACCGAGGGGCTGGACCTTTCCAGGATGTAGACTGTCCGGGTTCGCCCAGATGTGCAGTGGGAAGGCCCCTGGCTGGTGGGAGCAGGGCTTCTGGAGGTGCACCTACCTTCCCTTCCTCTGGAAAGCCTGTTGAGCCCTGACCCCCACCCCAGGGTGTGCCTAGCCTTTTCCAAGAGCCTCGGCAGAGGATCAAAATTTTGGCCCAGAGAGTGGGGAGGGTTGGGGGGGGGGCTGTAGGTGCCACCGACCCTACAACTCCACCTGTCTCACCTGCCTCGGGGACACCCCCTCCCCCTGACTCAAGAGGCCCACGGAGGGGCTGCTTGAGGTTCCTCATCCCTGCACCCTCACGGGGAGCCCCTCCCTGTCAGGGTAGAGCTCTGCCTTGGGCGCTGGTGGAACTGCTCTGCCCCAGAAGGGGACACGTGCTCTCCAGCCCCCTTCTGGGGGCGGGGAGGGGGGGGCTTGGAGTGGAGGCGCCCTGCTCTCTGCCCCCCCATGGCGAGTTGAAGTGTAAATGAATCGGAAACATATGGAGTGGATTTTCTTTGAAATGCAGATGGGTTGGGGGGGGGACCATGTGTGCCTAGTGGAAGGGGGGGTCCCAGAGAGCACAGAGGCTGAGAAGAGAGAGCTGACCCCTCTTCCAGACCCACCGTGGGCTGGGGGGACTTCAGCTGTGTAAACTCCCTGGGTGACCACACCCTCCACAGGGCGCACTCCAGGCTTCCTGTGGGGAGGGGCTGGGAGGCAAGTGGGCCCAGAGCGCTGAGGTCACCCCCGCACTCTGCAGAGGGCACGGGAGTCCCTGAAGTACAGAGCCTTGCAGAATAGGAGGGGGCCTGGGGGGGACGGGTGGAGGGAGGAATGTGGGGACAGAGGAGACCTGGGGAAGGAGCCAAGTCCAGCAGCTCCCCAGAGTCGCCGGTGGTGACCTCTGGGCAGCACGGAGCTGTCATTGTGCCCTACCTCCACTCCCAATGCTTATTTTGTTGGTTTTTAGCCACACCAGGGCTGACTCGAGGTCTATGTGCTCAGGAATCACTGTTGGTGGTGCGGGGGACCTCACCCAGATGGGTCGTGTGCAAGGCAAAACCGGCACCGTCTTTTCATCCCCAGCTGGAGCATTTGCCTCCTACCAGGCCCGGTGAGCTGGCATAGTGACCATCCAGAAGCCCCGTGGTACCCAGGCGGCTGGGATCTCTGTGGTGTTGCCCCCAGACTGCAGCCCCTGGGGGTTTAGACCCTGTGTCTATAGCTCCTGCTGTTCACTGCTATTTGGCTTGAAGGACTTGAGTGGTTTATGGGTTAGACCAAAGTAGGGATGGGGAAGTGGACCCAGGGGAGAGGTCTGACTGGGGGGCTCAGGGCACAGTACAGGCCCCAACTCTGAGGCCAAGTCTGTTTTCTCCCACTTAGGATTTTCCAAGAGGTGGAAGGCCCCTTTCTCCCACTGTGGCCACGTGTCCCCTGTTCTCTCTGGGCCCGGGTTTCTAGACCTCAGCCAAGATAGTGGGCCCCATCGCTGAGCCCCAAGGCTGGCGCTGGGCCCGTGGCACTGCAGGGGGCATCAGCCACTGTTCGTATGGGTTAGTCACGTCTGAGAACATAGGATTTGACTTCTAAGGAAAAAAAAATCCCTGCCTGGCCAGAGAGCCTGGACAGTGCCAGTGGGGTGAGTGTAACCATGGCTCTATCTCAGAGGCACAAGAGACAGAGAGAGAGAGAGAGAGACAGAGACAGAGACAGAGAGACAGAGACAGAGAGTGACAGAGAGAAGGAGAGAGAGGGAGAGAGAAAGGGAGAGAGGGAGAGAGATACAGAGAGAGAGACAGAGACAGAGAGAGGAGGAGAGACAGAGGGAGGGAGAGAGACAGAGAAAGGGAGAGACGAGAGATAGACAGAGACAGAGAGGGGGGAGAGAGAGAGGGAGAGAGAGAGTACATGAGTACACTCACATACACATACATACGTTCACACGCTTGCATACACACACAGTCCCCCACACACTCGCATACTCACACACATGCTCTCTCACACACACTCACACATACTCTCACATACTGTGGCACACATACACACATACTCTCACATTCACTCACACGTTCTCACACTCTGACACACACACTCACACACTCACACACACATCCCCCTTTCTCAGAGCCGCCGGGAGACTGTGGTGATGTGGGGAAACGAAACGGAGGCTTCCTGTGCGGGAGAGCCCTGCACACAGAGCTGCTTCTGTTTCCCAGGGAGCAGAGATGGGTCAGACGGGTGGGGTGCCAGGTAGGCTCTGATGGCCAAGGCTCTGGGCACAGAGAATTCCTTCCAGGACAGCCTCGGGACGCAGAGCTATCACACTGTGAACATCAAGTTCCTCTTTAGGCTGCTCCAAATAGGTGTGTGGCAGAGAAACCCACATTTTCTCCAAGGAGGCTTTTCTGAGCCACTGTGCCCTCACCCCAGCCCTGCCCAGCAGTCTGAGTCCCAGTGAGGTTCCTGCACCCCCCTTTCCTAGCCCCCACCTTGTTTCAGCCCCCCAGGCCTTCAGGTCGCCCTCTTCCTGGGAAAAGGTAAGCCGTGCCCAGCCTCTGAGGGTAGACTGTGTGTGACCTTGGCCCGTGCGTTGACCTTTTGGGGCCCCTCCGTGAAATTGTGGGATGGGGGGGCTGGGCCCCAGCCCAGGCCTGGAGAGAAGGCGGTTTTGGCACCCATCCAGGCCCCTGACGTCAATGACTCTCCAAATAATGGAATCAATATTGGGGTGGGGGGGCAAGCGTGAACCAGGCCCCAGCGATTAGAAACAGATCAGCACAAACCCGCAGCTGATTCTGATAGAGCTGCCTTGGAGAGCGAGGGTGGGAGGCCTGGAGGGAGGTGGACCTGGGGAGGGGGCTTGGGCTGGGAGGAGGGGCCGCCTAAGTGTCCAGAGCATGAGGACCGCAGTGGGCAGACTCGGGGGGGTGGGGGGCTGTGTGAGGTGGGGCGATGGGCTGGGGGGGGTCTGGAGGGTGGGGGTGGGTTCGCATCCCGGTCCTTTGATGCTTTGAGCCTGTGGGGTACCCCCAGCGAGGGGGAGTCTGTGAGTGGCGCCTTCTTTTAGCCAGGGAGAGATAAAGAACGAATAAGCTGTGGCTGGAGAGGGCTCCTCCTCAGCTCCAAGGGCTGGAGGACATGCTCTGCATGCAGGAGGCCCTGGTCCCAGCCCCAGCGCCACGTGATCCCCTGAGCATCACCGGGAGCCACTTCCAAGTGCAGAGCCCCAAGTGCAGAGCCGGGAGTAGCCTCTGAGCATTGCCGGGTGTGACGGAAGCTCCCACCAAGAAGAAAAGAGAAAGGGGCCTGAGCTCTACAGTACAGGGGGTCGGGCGCTTGCCTGGTACGTGGCCAACCGGGTCCAATCCATGGCACCCCATATAGACCGCTGGGCCCCGCCAGGAGTACCTCATAAGCACAGAGAACCAGGAGTGAGCCCTGAGCACTGCCGGGCGTGCCCTTTACCCTCCACACCCTCCAAAAAAGAATCACACACACACACACACACACACACACATAGAAAGAAAAGGAAGAATGGGTAAGGGGAGTTCAGAGTTCACCTTTGCGTCCCAGACTTAGGCTATTGGGGGGCTACAGATTATATCCAGGGTAAAAGGGAGTTCCAGGTCAGACCTAAGGGAAATGACCTTTGGTCTGGAGGCAGAGGGCGTCTGTATCCCAGTAGGGGTGTATTTCCCCCTCAGATTGGGACTCTGGCCTCCTTGGTCAGCCCACATCCTCCCCGCCTTCTAGAAGGCAGCAGGTGAGGGTGGAGGGGTCCTTGGGGTCCATAGGGGGCTGGCCTGGCGGCAGCTGACAAAAAACAGGAAGAAGGACTGGGGGAGCGGCTGTAATTACAGGGCATTTATTATTAATCAGATGAGATTGCTGGAAGCAGCTGGTGTAATGTGCGTGGCGATACAGCCTGCAGCACCCCCCCCCCGCACATGCACATGTCCACACACCACCACACAGCCAGGCCACACTCGCTTTCACAACTGGCTTCCTGTGCAACTTGGAGAATGTGTCTGGGTGCACGCTGTTGTTTTATCATGTCAGCTTCTGTTCCCTCTATTGTCTCCTTTTCCTTTTTTTTTTTTCTTCCCCCAATGATAGTATTGCATTAAGTTAGTTTTCTTGGCTTTGGGGCCACAGCCTATGGTGCTCCGGGATCATTCCTGGCTCTGTGCTCAGGGGTGCTGAGCACCGTAGGCGGTGCTGAGGATCAAGCTGGGGTCGGCCGCATGCAAGGCAAGCGCCCTTTCTCTTGTCCTATTCCTTGTCAGTCCATGTAGACGTCTTTTCTGACAAGTCTCTGACTTGGCCCCACCCCCTGCCCCCCATGTGTCTGTCTGCCCAGGTCCGCTCTCCCAGGGCCTGTGTCATGGTATCTCTGTCTGTTGCCTCTAGCCAGTCTGTGTTCTGCACGGTGTTTTGGACTCGGGCCATCTCCCATGTCTGTGTGTGTATGTGTGTGTGTGTGTGTGGGGCAGGTTGCGGGGGATTCCTGCTTCTCTGGGTAGAGTTGGATGGTAGGTGAGTGGGTGAGAGTCCAGGCATCTCAGCATGCCTCTCTGAGACTGATTTTTTAGCTTTTGGTTTTTCTTTGGGGAGATGGGCAATTGGACCTCAGGATCTCCGGGGATGTCAGAGACAGTGAGAACCTCAGAGCCTGAAGAATAGTGGCCGCCACCTGACCTTCTTCAGCCGGCAAAATGCTTTTTCTCTCTGAGGCTCAGTTTTCCTCATCTGTAAAATGGAGACAAGAATGCCTCCAAAGGTGGTTTTGATGCCTTGGGACAAAAATGTAGGCTAAAAACTTAGGCTCTCTGCCTCAGAGGCACCAGCAGGAAGGAAAGAGAGAAGGAAGGGCGTTGGCATAGCAAAAGGGCTTTGGAGCTGGACTCGAACTCAATCCCTCTTCTGGAACTCATCAGCCCTGTGCTCTGGGGCCAGTTAATTAACCTTCCTGAATCTCGGTTTCTTCAGCAGTCCATAGGGATAAGAATAGAACCTACCTCATGGCGAAGTCATGAGGATTAAATGAGATAATGCACACACAGTGCCTGACATAGCTTCTGACACATAACAGATGCTCAATAAATCATAGTGTGGATGAGGCAGAGGAAGAGGATGGTGGTGGGGGGGAGGGGTTCTGCCCTGCCGGTGGCCATATGTCTCTGTGTGAGCGAGCCTGGGAGAATGTGTGGGATTCGGAGGTACTTATGTCTGTCGGCTGCCCAGGTGGGGATGTGGGAATGCTTGTAGGTATGTAAAAACTTGTCGGGGTGGGAGGGGCAGGAGGTGGGGGTGGTGGGGGTCAGGCCACTGATTTTTGGTCTCCCTTTGTCCCCCGGTGGTTCAGGACCTCAAGTCAGCAAGGGGTGCTGGAGGGCACTGGGACTTGTCCCAGCTTTTCCTCTTCCAGATCCTTCCGCGCTGCCTGCCTCTGTTTCCCTCTTCTCACAGTGGAGTTGTGAGAAGAGAGAGAAAGAGCACACGAAGGCCCAGTGGCTCGGCTCCCCTGAGACCTCTGACATGTGCCCTTTGCCCTTCTAGAGTCCAACTTTGTCGCATCATCCTGCCCCCTTGGTTTTGGAAGTTGCGGGCAAGAGTCTGGTGCGGAGGAGACGGTTGGTGGACGTTGATGTGCTCGGTGAGCGGCCGGAGGTGAAGAGGTAGGTGCAGGGCCCTAGGACAGCCCTTCCTCCCTCTGGGAGCAGACCCCCTCTCCTTCCCGCCAAAAAACTAGTGCTGGGCTTAAGGCGCTTGTTCTGGCACAGCCGTCCCTGCGAAGTATGGTCCCTGCAGTACTGCCCAACAGCTAACTTATTCCGGCAAGTGGACCTACCCCGCCCCTCCGGTTCAGTGCTCCCCTGGAGGCAGTGGGGCCCCCTGTGGGTGGAACACTGTCCAGGGGCACTTCCATAGCCCAGTGAAGAGGAAGAGAGTCCCCCTTGGTCACCCAGGCCATGGCAAAGCCAGGCCGGAAAATGGGGTTCTGCGTTTTGGGGGGGGTGGATTCTAGATGTGCTGGTGCTTTTCTCTCTTGCTGCCAGGCTCCCTCTCTGTGCCCCCCCCCCCCCAGAAGAATCTCTCTGGTTGGAGGGGAGGAGAAGGTCTTTGCAAGAGACAGAATCGGAGTATGCGTGTGCGGGGGAGGGTAGAGAGTCCAGAATCTTCTGGGGGCCAGGCGCGGGGCTGGGCCTGACGCTCCTTGCCTTTCATTCAACCCAGGCAAGGCCCCTGGATTGGCAGCCCGGGGGTGGGGGCGTCCAAGGAATCGAGGCGCTGGAGCGGAACGGAAGGGCCTATTGTCCAAAGCCCGCCAGAGGCCCACAAAGGCCACCGGCTTTTCATCTCCAGTCCCAAACAGACTGGCCATTTTCCCGGCCCGGAGTCGGGGGGACCGGGCCCTCCACGACTGGGGGACTGGGGTGTTGTGGAGAGTGAGGTGGGGTTTCCCAGGGGCCAGCAAAGGGGCTTAGCATGGAACTGGGGTTCTGAAGAGGAGGGAAGCTCCAGATGGCTGAGTGATGCTTCCCTCTCTCCCCTGCTCCCCGGAGGGCGCAGGGCGGGGGTGGGGGGGATGGAGAGAGGCTGGATTTCCACAGTCGCAGATTCTATCTAGGTGTCCGGGGTCGCCCCCCGCTCCCCCCACCCCTGTGGCTTGTTGGGAAAGTGAACTACTGAGCTGAGGGGTGGGGGTGCCCTGAGTGCGCCCGCGGAGGGCCGCAGGGGCTGGAGGTCAGAGGCTGGTGGTCAGGAAGGACGTTCTGCTAGTGGCCAGTAGCTCAGATACCCTGACCCTGTCCCTGGGGAGCCCAGACAGTGGGGCTGGAGAACAACCCTGTGGGGTCGGGCCCAGGCAGCTTCTGTGGGGGCTGAGGAAGAGGCCAGGAGGGAGGACTTGGCAGGATGTCCACCTCCCCCCCCCGCACCCCTGCAGAGCACCTCCAGCCCCACTTTAAAAACGGCTTTTTAATTTAACAAAGTGGATGAAAAACTGTTTTTGGAAATAAAAGGTATCTGCTAGGCGCTGGAGTGTTCAGCCTTCGCTGAGTCTCCTGGCTTCTCCCTGCAACCAAAGACTGTGTGTGTGCGTGTGTGTGTGTGTGTGTGTGTGTGTGTGTGTGTGTGATTTGCTTGTTTGTGCTCCTTGGACCCCCCAGTTTCTCCATGGCCTCCGTCACCCCTCCAGCCCCTCGCTGAAGCCTCCATGTGGCCCAGCCTCTGGCCCTGCGTCTCCCGGCTCTCTCTTCCGGGCGTCTCTCTCCTGATTCGTCTCTGTCTCCCGGCCTGTCTCAATCTCTATCTCCCTCCCCCCCTTCCTTTCTCCCCCCCCCAACCCCTGCTCTAAATGGGTCTATTTAAAACACCCGACGCTGCCAAGTCAGAAAAGCGTCTCCTGATAAAGCGCATTAGGCGGAGGGAGGGAGGAGGAGGGAGCAGCGGGCGGACGGATTGATCCAAGCCCGTAACCCCATTAATCAGGCATCGTGGATCTCCCTCCCCCAGCTTCAGCCCCTTCTGAGCTAAAAGCCCCTTAAATATTTATCACCCTTCCCCCCTGGGGGCGAGGGGAGAGGTGTGTGGCCCTGGGTGCACACAGCCTTGGCTGCAGCAGGGTGCCCCCTTCTCCCCCCCCCCCCCCGCCCCTGTTCACCCATGTGTGCATGTCCTTGTGTGCACGGATGGGCTTGTACATGTGACAGACCCAGGACCTGGCGGTCTAGCTGCAACACCCCTCACCCCGCGACCCCCCCCATCACTCCCTTCCTCGGGCCCTGGCTCCCTGGCTGGACTCTGACCCCCGGTGGCTCTCCCTGCTCCAGGAATGCCCCCCCACCCCAAGGGCAGTGATGGGGGCTGGGTGCATGGCTCCATCATCCTCAGGTGGCAGGCGGGTGAGCTGGGGCACAGTGTCAGTGCTAGAATGACTTGGGGCAGAGAGATGAGATGACGGGGACTCCCGTTCCTCTTTGCACCCCCTCTGCCCCCCTTCCCGGTAGCTGGGGGTACTGGCTGAAGGCCCCCCTCCCCTTCAACCTCAGAGGACTGTGCCCACGACCCTGGTGGGGTGGAGTGGGAGGGTTATCCCCAAGGTGGCTTGGACTGGGGCTGGGTGGGGTCACCTCCTAGGAGAAAGCCAGGGGAGCGGCTGGAGGCTTGGCCCTCACCTCTCCGGACCGAGCCGTCCCCCTGGGCAGGGCAGCCCCAGAGGAAGACCTGCAGGGTGCAGACCGGTGGGGCTTCGGGTGGGGCCGGGGAGGGAGGGGGCCTCGGTCCAAGTTGCTCCCCTGGACCCACACCAGCCTGGCCCCCCTCCGCCCCCACCCCAGGGTCGCCTCGTCCCTCCCCCCTGCATCAAGTGCCACATCTCCTCCTGACTCAGACAATTAGATTCAAAGGATGACCTCACTCCCCGCGGCCGTCCCTCACTCGCTCCCTGGGCTCGCCCGCTCGCTCCGCGCGCTGCGCCTGCCTTCCCTCCTCCCGGCCGCCGCCGCCGCCGCCTCGCCCGCTCGCCGGACCCCCAGCCCCGACCCCCGGGGGGCCCGATGTCTGCGCGGGGGACCAGGTCAGTGGCCGCGGGGGCCGGGGCGCCTGTCACCCCGCGGGGGCCGCGCAGCGCCCGCCCGTCCGCCCGCCCCGGCGCTTCCCGCTCCTCGGCCGGCCCCACGCCCCCCGCGGCTGCTCGGCGCGCTCCCCTGCCAAGCTGTCTCTCTCCGCTCCTCGGCGCGGCTCCCCTCTGCTCCCCTCGCTCCTCTCCCCCAGCCCCCCGGCCTCTGCAGCCGGTGGGAGGGACTGGGACTTCCTGAGGTCCCCGGGATGGGGCCCGGCCGTCGCTGCCTGCAGCCGCCTCATTGCAGAGAGAGAGGGAGGGAGGGAGGGAGGAGGGGGCTCCCGGGGCGGGTCCCAGGCCTGGGGCAGGGGCTGCCACCTGTGGGTGGGAAGGGGGCTACCCTGGAGGCCGGCTGCACCGGGGATGAGCCCCTGGTATCTCTCTTTCGCACATCCGGCCCCATGGAATGTGATCACCAAGCCTGGCTGGGTTTGTCCCCACCTCCCAGCCGACTTCAGTCCCCTCTGCCTGGTTCCCCTGCGGTCCGTGTCACCGGGCCGGGCCGCCTGGTTTCAGCTCTCTGAAACCTGGTCCTGCTCTCTCCAAGTGCCTGGTCCTGCTCTCTCCAAGTGCCTCCAGGGACGGTCCCTGCCTGTTTTCCTTGAGCTGGGGCCTGCTCCGGGGGTCCTGAGAGCTGTGTCACACTCCTCTGCTGAGGGGGTCTCAGGGCCCAAGTGGCACCTGGAGTGGCAGTTGGGGGGAGTGTCAGGAGCCCCCCAGGGTGCTGGGTGTGGGGCTTAGCTGGCCGTACCTGGACTCCCTCTTGCCTGGACAGCGACATGGCCCTCTCTGTCTCTGTGTCTCTGTCCCTCTGTCTTTGTCTCTCTCAGTCTCTGTCTCTCTGTCTCTGTATCTCTCTGTCTCTCTGTGTCTCTGTCCCTCTGTCTTTGTCTCTCTTTGTCTCTCTGTCTTTGTTTGTCTCTCTCTCTTTCTCTTTCTGTATCTGTCCCTCTGTCTCTGTCTCTGACCCTCTGTCTTGGCCTGTCTCTGTCCCTCTGTCTCTGTCTCTCTGTGTCTTTCTGCCTCTCTGTCTGTCTCTGTCTCTGATTCTGTCTCTCTCTGTGGGTGTGTGCTGGGGAGACTCTGTGCCTCCGGGTCCATGGATGCTCGGGGATTCTGCTTCTCTGGGACTCCTGAGTCAGACGAGGCCCAGGTCGGCCAGCTGGCCAGTCCGACTACTGCAGGACGCCTGTCCCCATATCGCTTCAGACCTGACATGGGCGATGACAGGGCTCTGGCAGGGACCTGAGGTAGAGCCCCCCCCTTCTTTCCTTTCCTGCTCCCACCCCCGCCATGCCCTGCAGCTGTGGGCGCAGAAGAGTGTGGGGAGACCCGGAGTCCCCTGTAAGTGGCAGCAGCAGCGGAACAGGGGAGCAGGAGGGACTTGGGGAGCCGCCCGTCTCCAGGGCTTCCTGATGCCCACTGTCGCAGTGACCCTGGGACTCTGGTCCCAGCACTTCCTTAGTCTTGTCTCTGGCCTGACCTCTTCGTTCCCTGGCCGCAGCGAGAGCAGGCTTGTGTGGGGCAGAGCTGCTGAGGAAGACTCTGCTCGTTCTATCTCCTCAGATTTGCAGGAACCACCAGAATTCCTCGTTCCCTCGTTCCCTCGTTCCCTCTTCCGCCCTGCCTAAGGCCACACTGAGCTTTATTCCCCGCCTCCCTCCCCTCCCTGCAGTCTCCACCCTCCCTCCCCCCCCCCCAGCCTGGACCGAGGATTCCTGGGGGTGTGTAAGGGGCTGAGGGTGACAGGGGGCTCCGGTTTCTGGAGGTGCGATGGTATCTGTGCGGAAGATCGGCCGTTCCGAGTGTGTGATGGTATCCATATGTGAGACGGGGGCTGTTCTGCTGAGCAAACGCGAGAGCCCGTGTGTCTGTGAGACTCTGGCTGTCATGCCCGTGCGCGCGCCCCAGCCCGGGGGAGGCTGTGGCAGTGGGTGTCCACACAGGAAGCCAGGCTGTGTGGGCGGGATGGTCCACTCTTCGGGGTGTCCCTGTCTGCCAGGGCATGTCTGTTCCTCAGGGCTGGCTCTGTGTGTGTGTGTGTGTGTGTGT